AAAGACAAACTCCAATATCGATCATCAGATATGCTATGATCAGAAAACCATAATAATTATGTTTTGTCGAAAACGGCTTTTAATTTTCTGATTTCCCTGAGGAAAATAAAAAAATATATATCTGAAACAGTTTAATCAGATTATGTTGATCTCTAATGACTGCTCAATTAATATTTTCATAAAAAATGAATTTAAAAATAAGTTTTAAATTTCTTAACACCTAAAAAACGTGTCTTTCAAAATTGAATTTTTTTTTCGAATATTTGAAAATTCAAACGGTTTTACAGATTTTTCTTTTTCGAACGAATTTCTTGGAGCAAAATTGACCATCCGAAAAACAGTATCAAACCGGAGAGCAACTTTGGATGCGGTAGGATATTTAGTTCCCTTCATTTTTAAACAGATCTCACCAAAGCTTACTTCTACTAACTCACCATATTTTTTTGTTTGTTTCGCAGGTGATTCAAAGATTCGCTCTTGTGTATTCAGATTTGATTCTACTGTAAATTGATAAGTCAAAGTTCTCAATTTTGGGAATGGAATTTGAACATTTTTTCCATGAAATTAAATAATTGACTGGATTTTTCATTTCATTACAATAGAAGTTTTATTTTTGAAATAGTTCTCCAATTAATTTTGATTTGTTTTTTTTTAAGTTCAATTGCCTGGTTTTCGAAATTTAAACTTTTGTAGTTGCTACTGTTGGCAACTTGTGTTATTATGTTTCTTTGAAAAAACGAAAAATACATATTTTTTTGTCTGTCTGCAGTTTAGTTTTTATTTTTTTCTTCATATATGTATATATGTCTGAATGTATGTATGTATGTATGTATGTACATGTTTTGGTATGTATGTATAAATATATGTATGTACGTATGTATGTATATATGCATGTATATATCATTGTAAGTATGTATGTATGTGTTTCTGTATGTCATGTATGTTTGTATTTAAGGTATGATTGTATGTATGTTTGTATTTCTGTATGTAATGTATATTTTGTATGTAAGATATGAGTGAATGTATGTAGATATGTGTGTATGTATATGAGTTAGTATGTTAGGTATGAATATTTGTATATATGTACATACGTATGTATATATGTATGTATGTATGTATGTATGTATGTATGTATGTATGTATGTATGTATGTATGTATGTATGTATGTATGTATGTATGTATGTATGTATGTATGTATGTATGTATGTTTTTATGTATCTATGTATGTATGTATGTATGTATATATGTGTATGTATGTATCAAGAGATCTGTTTATAAAAGTATGTTAGGCTTGTTTGTATGGAGTGTATGTGTATGTTATGTATTAATCTATGTAAGTACGTATATATGTAAGTGTGTATGTATGTAAGCATGTACGTATATATGTATGTATGTTTTACGTTTATATGTATGTGTGTATGTATGTATCTGAGCGTGTTTGCTTGTATTTAGATGTGTATCTTTGTATTTAAGTATGTAATCTTTTATGGATGATGTCTGTATGTATATGTCTATGTATGTATGTATGTATGTATGTATGTATGTATGTATGTATGTATGTATGTGAATGTGTGTATGAATGTATAAATGTATGTATCTATGTATGTATGCTTGTATTTAAATTTGTATCTTTGGTTTTTTTTAGCTTTTATGGATGATGTCTGTATGTATATGTCTAAGTAGGTATGTTTGTATGTATGTATGTATGTGAATGTGTTTATGAATGTATATATGTATGTATTTATGTATGTATGCTTGTATTTAAATTTGTATCTTTGTATTTGTGTATGTAAGCTTTTATGGATGATGTCTGTATGTATATGTCTATGTATGTATGTATGTATGTGTGCATGTATGTATGTGAATGTGTTTATGAACGTATGTCTGTATGTTTTCAAGTATGTAAGTTTTATTTATTTATTTTTGTATGTAAGTATGTATATATGTATGTATCTTTGTATGAATTTATGTTTCT